ACAGATCCGGTGCCAACCTAAATTTCACCGGTCTTTCCCTGCCCTCTTGTTGAGTTTTCGTCCGAAATTTTTGCAATAAATAATTTTGACATTTCCAGGACGACAACTGGATGCTATAGAATTCCCGAGCTTTACCTCTCAAACGGGAAACACCGACAATATTATGCCCCGACAGATCGGTCACATCCAATTCCTTAGAAAATAAGTTAACAATATAATCCCGCAAATCCAACTCGAGCGGAATACTATGATTAAACAACATTAAATTGCTTCTGTTTGAAGCATTAACTTGTCTATCGTAGGCAAAGGAGTATAACTCATCAATGTCATCCAAAGGTAACTGATGTTGCTGTTCCAATTTATCTAATCGCGAACATACTTTAGAAAAGTCAATTTCCAATTTAAAATTAAAAATAAAAAAAAAACGCACCTACTTAGGTAGCAAATAAATAAAAGACTCAGTAATTTACAATAAAAAAAGTGTTAACAAAATCTCCGACAAAAAGTCACTAGCAGCCGAGGTTACTCAACCATTTATACTGTATTCAGTATTTCAACAACCACAGTAATTGTAATATAACACCAACGGCTGAGAATGATGAGAATTGCCGAGAATCAAACGAACTATTTTCTGGAACGTTTACAATCGTTCTATAATCGAACCAATATGCAATAACAAATTCGAATTTAAAACGGTTCGAACATTTTTAAAATAGAAATAGATAAAAATATTTATAACAATGTCTGAAATGCTATTAATTTAATACACCTAAGTACTCGATGAAGACTAAATCCTCTCCCTCTCCCCCGAGAAGGAATTTCGAAAAATCCCTTCTTAGTGTGCATTCTCATGGCATACCTTACTACAACGCAGTTAAAAACAAAAAATCGCATCTAAAATAGCACAGTAGAAGCCGTTTTTCCGGTTAAGGCTTAATCCTCTCCCTCTCCTACGCGGGGTTATTTCGAAAAATCCCATCTTAGTGTGCGTTTTCATGACGTACCCTAACTGTATACCAAATTTCACAACTTTAGGTTCAGCGGTTTGCTCTGGGCGATGATGATTCAGTGAGTNTAAGTATTCGATGAAGACTAAATCCTCCCCCTTTCCCGGCCGCGGGGGAATTTCGAAAAATCCTTCTTATTGTGCATTGCCATGACGTATCCTAACTGTCTACCAAATTTCACCTTTAGGTCAAGCGGTCTGCTCTGGGCGATGATGAATCAGTGAGTGAGTGAGTCATTCAGTCAGGACAAGCAATTTTATATATTTAGATAGATGATCTGCTTTAGTTCATCCTCACAGGAAAGCAAACTTAGGTCGTTGTACTCGTAGCGCCATCTGTTGGACATAAAAGCCTTAATCCTAGATGATATCTTTTAATTTATATGAATGTTTACCGGAATAATATACAGCCTATGTCCACCTGAAGTTCCATTGTAAATATTGGTGAAAGAATTTTTGAAATCGGATGAGTAATTTCGGAAATTAGCCCTTGCATACAAACATTACCTTTATAATATTAGTATAGATATCATCGAGTCTGTTGCAAGGCTGCAATACTTTCAGATTTCCAGGTCAAGGATCAAAATATATGAGATACCTCAAGATGACAATGTATCATATTTTGAAGAAAATTCTGCCGATGAAGTTCTATTGGCTGCAACTGTATCAACATTGTCCACAAATAACAAACATCTTTAATAAGATTCAATATGTTCCAGTAATCAGAAAATTATGATGAATTTTTTGAACAAGATTGTTTCAGTGATGAAGCCATTTTCCTTCTAAATGGAAAAATTGACTATCATAATGTAAAGATATGGATATTGCAAATTCAAAGGACTTCATCAAGCATGAGAGAGAAAATCCAAAATTAAATGTTTTTTGTACCATAAACTGTTGTAAAGTTTGCCTTTTTTTTTTCTTTTGTAAAACATTGTCAATGGAATTATGTATCTTGACATGCTTCGAGCATTACTTGCTACTATAACTCTATGAGGAGGAGGATATATTTATGGTATTTTCAACAAGGAGAAATTCTTCCCCATTTCCACCATGACATGAAACGAGCCTAAATTCCACTTTTTATAAAGGGTTAGAAAGAGAACAATTTCTGAGATTTGCTGAATGGCTGATGTTATCTTCTAGCTTTTTGAGAATTACAAAGAATCAGATCCCTTTTCCTATTGTGAGGCCAACCATTTTTCTTAAATTTTGTCTGTCATTATATATATGTTATTGAATTATTACTAGTATTATTTTGTATAGTCTTAATTTTAATCAATTTATTTTAAATCAATAATGTAATCTCTTTAAATGATAAGTTGGACATTTTATTGTATTTTAAATTATATATGTATTTTATATCTGTTTTTTGTTCTGTTTGTTTGTCAAACAATTGTTAGCTACCAGACAAGATGACTTTTGAACCCATTCAGCTACAGTGAGACTGTGGTTATTTACTTTATCAAGTAGTGTTGTAATGGAATTTTGTCTATTTTCCCAATTTTACAGATCCTCCCTTTAAATTTTTAGCAATATAGATTAGAATATCAATAGAAATAAATTAGAATAAAAAATTATCAGTTAATTGTCATTAACCTCACAACATTCAGAGGAAAAGATGAAGGAGATGATTGTCATTTCCTCCTTTCAACTAATGTTAAGTGACAATTGTTATCTTATCCACATGAATACACAAGAGAGGAGAATGATTAACCAATCAAGCTTATCTCTCATTACATCAGCTTCCTCTAAAATAAAATCATGATTGGTCAGAAAAAAATAAGCAAAAGGGAATGACAAAAAAGATGGCAGAAAGAGGAGAGTTAATGTCAAAAAAGAGATTCAATTTGACAGAAGAAAGTCACAGCAGAGAGAAGTGTGTCAACCCTGGAGGAGACAGGAAGAGAAAGAAACAGAAAAGGTAAAAGAAAGGAAAAAGGAACTGAAGAGATGACAGAAGCAGCAACTCTTTTCCAAGTATGTTGTGAGTTGCAAATTTCAGATTATCCTCCCTGGTTAGGAATCCTTTAGATTTAACAGTACCTAAATAAGCAAGTTCCGAGGATAGGCTTTGTTTATCCAGATGTAGGTATAATGTCATGTTTTGCTTTTGCAATAAATTTTCCTTTCTTATTTCTACATTAGTGCAGTTGATTTTACATTTGTTTTCCTGAGAGGCTCATGCCTGAACTTCATAGTAACTCTTACCCTCATACCTTATATATTTCAATCTTATCTAGATCCCAAATCAGTGGCATGTCTGACAATACACACCTGATGACAAATCCCTACTGAGAAAGGTTAGATCTGAATTTTGACAGCCCCAAGCCCACACACTATGATCCCTAAGAATATGCTACCTGGTATCTGAAGATGAGATTATGTGCTCTTGGGACTTCTATTGTGTAATATGAGGGAGCCATATTAAACATTTTTTATGAAAAACTAGAAATATATTGAAATCAGATGCGAGTTACTTCATATCTTTTCTTGTTGTCTATTAATAAATAGTTGAAATTACCCAACTAATTCCTAGACATTCTGTATGCACTTAATATTTTTAAAAAATATTAACTTCTGATATATGAACTTCCAAAGCTGGAACAACAGTCAATACTTCAAATAAAACATAAGTACTTATTCTACATACACACAAACGTTTTCAGCCCCTAAAAGGACCAAAAAGGTTTGTGTATTTATTGAATCGTGTGCTAGAGTAAGAACTGATGGTTTATTTGAGGTAACTTCTGATATAAAATTTATACAAAAATCATTTTAATTTTAGAAGTTTCATATTCATGATTCAAAAGTGCTTTTTATTTAAAAAAAAAAAAAGTTGAATCAGGAATATAAAAAGTTTTAAAACTATTTGATGGTCAAAATGACAAACATCATAGCTTATGTTTTTGTAAATAATGTACTGTAAATTTTTATACAATTTTCTTATATTGATATAATAGTATCATAGATATATACACACTACATAAATATGTACATACTCCAGAGTACATGCAATATACATGTAGAGTACAGTACATACATACATATACTCTAATTCATACATTATTTTATTTCTTTCAAATATCATGTACAGTATATGTTTCTTCTAGGTTCTAAGTTTTGATCATGTAGTGGGAAGTTATTGACCCTGTTTCCACTTTATTATACAGTAGAGCGTCGATTATCCAAAACGCCAATTATCTGAAAGAATTCCAGTTGGCAAATTTAAATTTTCACCAGCGCTGTGGCACTGCAATCTTTGGCTATGTCTTGGGCTACTCAAATATTTTACGTTTTTGATACTAAATTAACTTCTGAAGTATAATTTTTTATTGTTTTTATATTTTTCAATATATTTATTTTGTTTGTACAAAATAAAAAACTAATTTTTAATGATAAAATAGTCTTCGTTAGGCTTAACACTGATGAAAATTCAACGCGAAGCGACACGCAACGGAGAAAAATTTCAAGATGGGATAAATTAATATATTTTTTCGTACATAATCGGTTATCCAAAATATTGATTTTCTGAACAACCCCAGTCCCCAATTGATTCGGATAATCAACGCTCTACTGTATTAAATTATACAGAGTTTCTGATAAAAGGAACTGAAATTTTAATTAAACTGAAGCAAATAATAAATCAGAAAGTTATTCATACAGAAAATATGTCTAAATTATGTAAGAAAATTTTATTAAAAAGCTCTAAAAAATCTTCAAATTTTATTAATGCATTATACAAATTAGCATATTTTATCAAAGTATCAGAGAAATGATAAAATTTAAAAAATTAATCTTTACCTATGATATATCTGTTATTATTTTTAAAATTTAACAAATGGAATTTATTAAATTTTTAAAATAATTTAAAAAAATAATAAAACAATGGAATTTACAATTACAGAAATTTGACATTTTGTTTATCATCACAAATATTTTATGCACTATCTGAAACACTCCAGCAGAAAAAAAGGCATTGGACATAAAAAGGCTATTAAATGTTATATTTGTCCTATTACTAATTCAATGAATATTGTTTTATGAGTTATTACATTGAATAAATAATTGTAATTATTACTATTATCTTTAATAATTTAATTACTAAGAAAATATCCAGACACTTTGCACATCTTAGCACCATATTATATTTTGCTTCATAAGACTGCTTGTTAAGGACATCAACGTAACTAAAAACTGTACATGGAAATGTTTTTGATTCCTTTCAGTAAACAAAAGCAAAAAAAAAAAAAATTACAAATTTCTAGAACTTTTAATGGAACTCTGTTTTACTGTAATGAAGGAATAAAATGAGAAAGAAAATGTAAATGTAAATATTTTCAATGATGGCTATTTTAATATAAAAAGAACTTTGACATTTTATTTCCAAGATTATGATCAATAAGTAACTTAGAATTGGCAGTGATATTAATTTCACAAACACTGAACCAATTTACGGTGTGGAACGATCGACTAAACATAAAAAACAAACGTTTTCGAACCCCTTCTGGGCTCTTCATCAGGTTTGTGTTTGATATATAGGTGTGGTGAGTAGTGAGTTTTTGGATATTAATTTCTTCATTATAATAATTAATACTATTATATAATTTTTTAATATACAGGGTCATCCAAAATGAATGCTACCATTTTAAAGTACAGTAATTATTATCTGAAAAGTATGCAATGTACTGTACACCAATGATATATTAACTCCCTAAGGTTCATCTCTCATCTGCATTCAAATGTCTTGTTGTCTATTATTTCTAGGAAGCACCATAAATGAGAATGACAACTCCACAACAGAGAAAGCATTTTGTGTTCTGCAGTTTGTAGTCAGAATCACTCATCAATATGCAACATGAGTAATCTGCAGGAGCTGCAGAATTGTGGCTGCTGTGGGAGTGATAACAGATATGCTATAGTGAGCATAGGAAGAATTTGAATATCGGGTGGATGTGTGCTATTTAACACAAGGTGTACACATTGAGAAATTATAATGGGCAAATATGAAATTTGGAGAGTTTTTCAATGTACAAACCATAAACCACACACGTACCCAGCATAATTAAATAAATAAAAAATTTAACCAACACCTTAATATTCGCTGAGAGATTTTTTTATTATAACAAACGTTTTCAATCTATTCATTACATCATCCTCAGGTTAAAAAGAATATTTCTTAAATGGAACAACAAGTTCAAAAATTCAAAAATATTAATAACCAATAACATTTCCAGTAATAAGAATAACTAATACATTGTAAATGATACAAAATGTAAAAATAAATAACATATTACACGTACTAAATATTAATACTGTCTTTCCTATCTAGACAGAATTTCCTTTAAAACATACTAGAGTTCATGTGCCTCTTGTAAGTTTTTAACAGCATACTTCCAAGCCGAAGGAAGACCCTCCACGTCCCTTGCATTAATGCATTTTTCTTTAAGCTTGCTTCTGTAAATTCCTATCTTTTCAGCCAATGTTGGAGAGTGTATCTGTTTTAGGATTTCCACTTCATTCCATCGAACCAAGGATCCTTCCGCTTGCACCATCTGGGCCAATACTGTTGTATTAGAACCTTTTCTAATATCATACCTGTGTTCTTTGATCCTTACACTTAGGTTTCTAGTAGTAACCCCTACATAATCTTTTTTTATACCTATTAGCTGGTTCTCATAGGGAATCTTATACACACTCGCCTTATCTTTTTTTTTAACCATCCCTTTATCGTTTCTGAGTATTTTATACAAATTCGGAGCTCTTTTTAAGATCACCTTTGATAAGATTATGAAAGAAATCGCAAATATGAAAGATACTTTCATATTTGCGATTTCTTTCATAATTCCTCCTAAATGCTTGTTGTATGTAAATTTCGTGTACTTAGATGGACCTTGTCTTGTGACTTTATCATTACTGGTCTCAAGTTTTCTAATAATTTCCTCTATAACATTCCTCTTATAACCTAATGTTCCTGCTATCTGTATAATTCTTTCTATCTCTGTATCCCGGTCTATAACGTTTTCACAGTATATAAAAGCCCTTCTAACCAATGCTCGAAATGCTGCTAACTTATGGTATGGGACCAAATTGAAGTATCCAATAGGGTAAAAGAGCTTCTGAACAAAGGCCCGAACTTCTTCCTGGAGAGTGCTGGGATTTGGGAAACATCATACCAGGAGATCGAAAGAGGAATTATTGGGTTGGATCCATTCA